TTTCTACACACATGTATTACTTTTCAAATAAGAAAGCATTAATTGGAGTCGTGAAATTTTATGATGATATTTGAACAGAATGAATGTGTGTGTCTCAAATTGGAGCAAAAATACTTCTCAGTACCTTACACAATGTCTCTTAGACAAGATACCAAAATACAATCTGAGTTTAAGCCCAGTTAATTAAAAAAAAAAAAAAAACACTAATATCCTAATGCTTTCTCTAGTCAGAAATTAGAGTTCTGTACTTTTGTAAACTTTTCCTCTTCTTCTTGGCTGACGAGAAAGTTAGAGCAAAGATCAGTGCCCCAGTTCTATCAATTCATGTTGGATATCTGTTCACCTCATTCCCTCTGCTATAGTTTAGATGATATCTGTTCATTCTATTTCTAACTGTCTTATTTTGTATTATGCCTAATCTCATAAGCCACTTCAATTTTTTTTGAAAAACAGGAAGGATGTAATTTCTAAACAAAAAAGATAGAACAAAATATCATGAAATTTTAGAAACTTTTAAGAAACTCTCTAATGAACTAAATGCAGCTGTTTTAGTTAAAAATTGGTAAAATACAGGAATTTTACATTAAAAACACAAAATGAAAAAGAGTAGTAGTGCTCATGTGCAATTTATAATCATTATTAACAAATTATAATTATAAATAATTTAATAGATACATAATTATAGATTATATAATAGCTATATAATAGATTATAAACAAGTAAAAACCAAAATCAATATAGTGTTTTCAAACACTTTTTCAAAGTCACAATAGAAAAGGCCTACACATTAATTATTTTAAAAACAAATTAGGTTAAAATTTACTAATTCTCTCACTTCATATATGTATATACACACACATATATACACATGCACTTATTTTCTTCACTTGCCAGAGCCAATTTTTAAATTGAGTTAACTATACTTGGGTTTATCTCTTTGTCGTGCACACCATTAATAGCCTCACTACTGAAATAAGTTAGTTCTTTATTATTCCCTAAGGCAACAAGAGGCTGTAATTATTTTGTGACTCATTTTATCTTTAATTAATTTGTGTTGTCTCTTACATTAAATTTAGTAGCGATAAGGTTGAATTGGAGTTTCTGTTTATAGGTTTTGTAAGCAGAGCTTTTGACTCACAATTTTCTGATTAATTAAATGAAATATTATTAGGTAATGATTCACACGCTGGAAAAAATAAAGTTCTATCCAAATATAACTGCTACTCTTTAAAAGTATATCACAATTTGTTATTATTGCCATTTTTCAGAAATGATAAGCTTTGATTCTCATTCACTATGCTATCTTTAAAAATAGATCAGCTGAGCTTAAGAAAAATTCATCATTATTCAACACTTCTCTTTGGCCAGAATGATTTTAGTCCTATTCAGGCAAGCTCAGAAAGCACTTCCACTGCAGGAAATTGAAACCTTGGTTTGTGTTTAAACTCAAAAACTAAATCACCCTTGTAGTAATCATTCTAGTCTTTCCCCAATTAGTTGCACAAACAATTCTATAAAAATCAACCAGTCTATGCAATGATATAATTTAATAATTTATCAAAATGATAAAATGACCAGAACTAAATCAACTACACATAGGTCATTTTTAGCTAATGTAGATTCATATTATTATAAGTATTAACCTATTAAAAATAATGCAACCAAGGATATTCATAAATGTATATATTATTTATATCATCTTCACTTGTAAAACTTAGTTCTTAAAAATTCAGATATAGGCTGGGTGCAGTGGCTTATGCCTGTAATCCCGGCACTTTGGGAGGCAGAGACGGGTGGGTCACCTGAGGTCAGGAGTTCAAGAAAAGCCTGACCAACAAGGTGAAACCCGATCCCTACTAAAAATACAAAAATTAGCTGGGCGTGGGGGTGGCACCTGTAGTCCCAGCTACTCTGGAGGCTGAGACAGGATAATTTCTTGAACTTGAAAGGCGAAGGTTTCAGTGAGCCAAGATCGTGCCATTGCACTCCAGCCTGGGCGATGGAGCAAGACCATGTCTCAAAAAAAAAAAAAAAAAAAAAACCAGATTACTAGAAATTAAAGAATATATAAATAAAACAATAAAATTTATTCTTTTATGCCATTCTATTGTTTTCCTATCAAAAGTATATAATACAATATATTTAAAAATCCAATAAATAACTATTTTTAATTACTTAACAGGATAATTGATAGTTGTTTTGAGTCTCTCTGCAACATCTAACAAATCAGTCACCAATTGTTGCAGAAGTTCATGGTAGGAACTCAGCATTTGCAACTTCCCAGTTACTCCTTGGCATCCTCCCAGGCCTCTCCTTCTAGCTGGGGCTACCAACCCAGAACTTTCTGGTTCAACCCCAACCCAGTATCTTGAACCAATTCTGAGCTTAAGCAGAATAGGCCTATCCTGACATTCTGAAATTTACTATAAGATTATTGGTGCCATTTATTTTGCAACTCAGAATTGTTTTAGGCTTTTCCTTATAACCCAGAATTTTAGTCTTGATTATCCTGCATGGCTTGCTGTGTTTGTGTACATTTACTCTTTGATTTTGTTACCTAGGACACTATTGATTTGATTTATATTCTACTCCTAGTTACTGATTCTCCACCATACACCCAGTCTAGGCTCCTTTGCTCAGACTCCTCTAAGGGGGAAGAATTAGATAATAAGGGAAGTAGACAAAAGAGATATTTTATCCATTATTGATAGATTCACAAAGATATCCATCCCAGGTCCTTTGCCTGTCTTTCTCTTAGCAGGGAGGATTGTATAGTAAAGGAAGGAGACATATGAATAATTTTTCATCACTTTCAGTAGACTACCAAAGATCCACGACCTTTAGTGGAAACAAGGCACTTGTTAGGTAAGCAGTGTCTAGGCAGCTGTTTAGTGGGTACATTCCAAAACAGCATCTTGTCTTCTCCTTGTCATCATGTGCAAAGTAAGTCTAATTATGTGATATAGTACTTTAGGCAGAGTGTATTGCCTAATGATAACAACAATAGCTCCCATTCTACCTCCTCTTGTGCAATATGAACTTGGTACTCCCCCATTGGAAAGTAGAGTCTATTGCTCCACCTCTTTGGGTCTGATCAGGCCCTCTGCTACTTTGGCCAGTAGAATACAATGGAAGTGATACTGCTCCAGTTTCACCATAGCCCTTAATTGGTCTAAAAGGGTCCAATTTGTGCATCTTGAAAGTCAGCTACTGTGTTAGCAGTGTGAGTACCTTGTACCACCATGCAACAAGAAGCCCAAGCCATGTGAAGAGGCCAGGAAGATGAAATACAATGTGGAAAGAGAGAGGCCAAGAAGCACCAAAGCATTAGATATGTGCATGAGAAACCTACCTTGGATGGTCCACCCAAGAAAAAGGAGTTTGCAGATGACTCTAGTTCTAGCTGCTATCTGGGTGTGACAACGAGCAACACCCTGAGAATGTACCACCTAAGCCTAGGCCATCCACAGAATCATGGGAAATAGTCATGTTACTGTTTTAGGTTACTATAGGGGGTGTTGTTACGTAGACAACCAGAACTGTGCTATTCATAAATTCAAGGTTTTATAAAGTCTTACTCTTCACTGCCAAGGCTTCATTGAATATTTATAGGTTAAAATATTTGAAATTATAATTTCCCAAATAATGCTCTAAATATAAAGCCACTGAGCAATATGTAGATGGACAGTTATCAAAAGATGATTTAGAAAAATGACATAGAACAATAAATTTTAGTGGCTCTCCACCTTCTTCGACTGGAATATATCTGAGGGATACAGCACATTACTATCAATTGCATCAATTACTATCAACAACAACTGGAGTTTTAGCTTAAAAAGACCCAAAGACTATTTACTGTCAGATCCTTCAGTAATCATTATGAAAATATTAAATAAAAAATAACCATATTCACACTTTCTTGTCCATAGTGAACAGTGCTTGGTGAGTTTAAAGAGAGACTTTTCAGTGATACTTATTTATATAATTTCTTTTTTATTATTATTATATTTCATGTCCTAGGGTACATGTGCACAATGTGCAGGTTTGTTACATATGTATACCTGTTCCATGTTGGTGTGCTGCACCCATTAACTCATCATTTACATTAGATATATCTCCTAATGCTATCCCTCCCCGCTCCCCCCACCCCACAACAGGCCCCGGTATGTGATGTTCCCCTTCCTGTGTCCAGGTGTTCTCATTGTTCAATTCCCACCAATGAGTGAGAACATGCGGTGTTTGGTTTTCTGATCTTGCAATAGTTTGCTGAGAATGATGGTTTCCAGCTGCATCCATGTCCCTACAAAGGACATGAACTCATCCTTTTTTATGACTGCATAGTATTCCATGGTGTATATGTGCCACATTTTCTTAATCCAGTCTGTCATTGATGGACATTTGGGTTGGTTCCAAGTCTTTGCTATTGTGAATAGTTCTACAACAAACATAAGATGATGGTCATCTTTAAACCAAGCTTTATGTTCAGACGTTTGACTAGCTCTACCCATGGTGAAATGTAGTTTGTGAAATTGTGACATTCACAATCCCAGATCCACTTCTTTCCAGCTGTATGACCTTGGATAAGTTCTTTAATTTATTTGTGCCCTAGTTTCCTCATCTGAAAACAAAAGGAATAATAATAGTATCTACCCCCTAAAGTGGTAAGGAGGATTAAGTGAGTTAATAATGCATAATAACAGTTTCTGGAAGTAGTAAGCATCATTTAAATGTTAGCTTCATTTTTTTAATCTCATTCATTATATTAGGAACACCTGATTGTAGAGTGGCCATAACAAATCCTGGTATCAAATGGATTTCACTAGACAAATAGTCTAAATTCTCCTTAGAGTTAGATAAATTGAAAGTACTTATTAAATAGGATTCTAAGTAGTGATTATTCCTATCACTCTTTTGATCAGTCTTATCAAAAGCAAGCAGAGCACTTTAATTCCAACTTATTGCATAACTTTTAAGGAAGATACACTAACCCAGAAATGTCAAGTTGAGTTGACTTAGTGAATTAGTATATTGCCTCATCCAAAATGAACACCATGATCCCAGTTAACTTGATAAGGAGTTTCAGCTGGACTTTCAGTTTCTTTTAAAGGGGAGTAAAGCTGTTCATTGAAATGTACTTTGCCTGGTCAAATATTTGATGCAGTAAAAAGCAATCATAAAAGGTGAAACTAAGACTCAGATCCCATGCCAATCATTCTAAAAAAGCAAGCACCAAAGACAGTTTGCTAGAGTTTTGCCATTTTTTAAGAGAATATCATACAGATGCTATATTCATAGTTTATGCTTCATGATTCAGTGCTTTTTCCTGCTAACTACTGAAACTGAGAAGCTCAACATTCTCACACACACACACACACACACACACACACACACAAATACTACTAACAATGACAGAATTGAAAGTTCTTTATCCAACATCCATTCTTCCCTTCAGCCTTAGTAAATGAATTACAGTTTAAAAAACAGCAACTATGTATTATAAACATTTATTTTCATTTAAAATGTATAAGCAAAGGGTACTTATTCTACTGTCTTTTGATGCAGTGCCAAAGTCTTTTCTTTGAATGGCTCCATCGATTGTAATTCTCCATTGTCTTTCTTTCATAAATCACTCTCATAATTCATCTTCTACAACGTCCAGTTCCAGTGTCTTTGAAGAGAAAAGAAGACATTTGTCAGGGAACTAGTGCATATCCTTTCATAGTTTGACAATTTTTTTCCAGACTTTCACAATTGCCTCCCCACATCTAATTTGACAATATTTTTAAAAAATAAAATTTGCCTTCATTGTGTATTTCCAAAGAATAAACTTTATTTTCATTTCAACTACTTTAACTTTTACTCACTTGAATATTACAGGTTTAGATAATATTTGTAAAAATACATAATTCTATCTAAATGTCTGAAATACACAGGTTTGGGAGCAAATATAACTGGATCTTACCAAGCCAAAAAAAAAAAAAAGTACTGAATAAGTGGGTATAAAAGTGAGCAGTCACATTTGAGATGAGCCTCATAATTGTCAGGGTTCAGCATGCACATTCATCATCAGAATATCTGATAGACATAATGTAGAGTTTAGGTTTATCTCTTAGTTTGGTGCAAAAGTAATTGCAGTTTTTGACATTACATTATGGCAAAACTGCAATTACTTTTGCACCAAACTAGTAGCAATGATTAAGTAGAAGTTGCATATGAGATATTTCACCCCTAAAGATATTCTATAGATTTTTCAAAAAATATTCACCACCCTCTTCTTAATCATAGAAAATATTTTTAAAATATGTCTATTTCTAAAGCAGACTATCTTACTGTTTTTCGATGTTGGTGTTTATAAAGAATAATAAACCCTTGAGACAACATATTCACGTGTCTTTATTCCTAGGAGGATAATCAGCTATTAGTCACTGTTATGGGTTAAATTGTGACCCTCAAAAAGTCATATGTTGAATTTCTAATCCCAGTACCTCAGAATGTGACCCAATTTGGAAAAAAGATCATTGCAGGTATAGTTAGTTGAGTTCATAGTAGAGTAGGGTAGGCCCCGAATCCAATATTACTGTTGTCCTCATACAACGGGGAAACTTGAAGATAGACACACACCCAGGAAGCATACCATGTGAACATAAAGGTAGAGATAGAGGTGATGCACCTACAAGCCAAGGAATGCAAAGATTTCCATCAAACACTGGAATTCTGTTGTTTCAGCCACTCAGTTTGTGGTACTTGGTTACAGCAGTCCTAACAAACTAATACAGTCCATCTTTAGATCAATATATCCTTAGGTTACAGTCATATTAAGCTTAAATCTTACTTCATCTGGTTTCTATTTATATCCTTCTCTGCAGCTTCTTACATATTTGTCAGGTCTTCTCTTGTCTAGGTAGGTAGCCTCTTGACTTGAAAATGTTTCTTCATATGATATTCTTTCACTATCCTGGTCTCTCTTCTAATGCATTCCTAAAAATACAGTATTTTACATAAAATTAAAAATAGCATGTGGCCTGCCTAATGCAAAGTAAGGCAAAGAATAAATCACCTTTCTTCCAAACATGATTTTTTTTGTAATGACACAGCCCAGGGTGCAAAAATGGCAGCACATCAAACTACTTACCCTCACTGAACAAAAATCTTAGTTTCCACACATGCTTTTTCTAAGCCATGTCTCTTCTATATTCTGTCTTTGTTGGAGCTGGTATTTTTTTTTATCCAATGATAAAACTTTAATGTTTAATCCTGAGAAACTTCATTTTGCTGCTCTGCCACATCATTCTAGCACACCAATTTAGTTTGGAACCTGATTCATTTAGTTAAGTCATTAGAAAAAAAAGTTGAAATGTACCGGGAAAGGATAGATTCCCTAAGCCACATTACTAGACACTTTCTCCAAGCCAAGTTTATCTGTTACGTAGCAATCTGGGATATACTTTATCAAACAGTTTCCAAGAAATGTAGCTGTACTAACACCAAGTGCATATCTCTTCACAAGTTTAAAGAAAGGTTCTATTACTTTAATAAATACAGATACATATATCTATCCTTCCCCTGATCTACCAGTCTAACAATTCTGTCAAGAAAAAGAACATGAAGCTAATTCAGCATCACTTGTTTTTGGAGAAACCAGGCTGAGTCTTCGTGATCTCTGCTAAGTAATGTAACACATTTCTTCATTTCTTAAGAAATTGACTTCCAAATTTAGCTGAAATCACATTAGAATTCATTATATGACTTTTTCTTCATAAATCTAAATGAACTGCAAAGTTTAACATTTCAATATAATCATGATAAAATTAAATCTTAGTTCATTTTAGAAAGTTAACTTGAAATTGCCTAAAGAATGAATAAAGAGTGCATTTTTCAATGAAAAATGTTTCTAGCTTGCAGTAATGCAGTTTTTTCAGTCATATAAATAGAAGCTACCAAATATGCTTTTGAAAAGAGATGATTTATTTCAGAATTGAATTACTGACTTAGAACTTCAGTGTTGTCTTCTTTACAGACATTTAGCGTACTTTATCCTAATCTTACTTCTAATACTTCATTTATACTTTTTCCTTTGATTCATTCCCTCAGCTCCTTCTACAACTTTGTTTAAAATATCTCCTGCCCCCTCCCTTTAAAATGCACAGTCTATCATTTCCTATCCCCTTCCTTTATTTCCTTTATGACACTTATCCCTTGGCATTATTGATATTCATATATTTTCCATCTCACTTGCTAGAATGTAAACTACACAAGAATAGGAAGTTTATCTGTTGCTTTAACAGCTACATACCCAGGTTTAGAACAGTACCCAGCACATAGTGACTTCTCAGCAAATACTTGCTGGATGAGTGAATGAAGGAATGGAGAGAAGTTCCAATGATACTATTAAGTAAACATTTCACAACCAGAATACTAAGAGAAGAATGTAGGCAAGAGGTGGTAACTGAAAACAACAAATCACAGTTGAGATAAAACTCACCTATACATGCTACAAACTTAATTAAACATAACATTGTGTAATTAAAAATGCATCTAATATTTTAGATACATGTTTACTCTTTTAGAATTATAACCCACAACTATAAAATAATATAATAGTTCAACAACTCTAAATATCACATAATTTCCTAATAAAATGCAGCCAAAATGTCACTACGTTTGTAAAAAAACTGTTTATTTTCTCATTCAATATATAATTTCCTTCTTTAATTCAAATATTCAAATAACCTGATGGAAGAAGCATAGTCTCTGCTGCCCATTCTCACTATCTATTTACCCATTTCCCCCTTATTCCCACTCTCATCACCCCATCTTCACTATGCTGGAATTCACTCCCTTCTATACATCTTTTTTGTCTATGCTATGAATAATTATCTTTTAAAATCAGAAAAAAAAAGCAATTATTTAAATGAGTAGTTATTTAAATAAATGTCTGATTTTTGTTTGGTTTCAGTTTACAACAGTTTTCTTTGTTTATATTGTTATCACTGTGTTTAGTATTGATTAGAAACAAATAGTGCCTTGAACAGCAGATATTTGACTGCCATTCTGCTACTGAAAAGGCCTCCAAGTGTCCAATGGTTCATTTAAAATAGACAAAAATGTGGTTCTATTAAATATTTCCATAAAACTGTGTGTAAAAAATTGGGCTGTCTTCAATGAAATGTGTGAAAATATATAGAATCTACTTTAATGCAGTAGTTAAATTGAACCAACCAGCCAAACTGACTTCTAAATAAGCAGCTGATGGAGATAGATAGATAGATAGATAGATAGATAGATAGATAGATAGATAATGTAGATATATAAATATATAATTTATTAATCAAATGATTCCAGTGTTAAGTAAACAGGTAGTACATTGCAATGTAAAAGCACATTACAGTTTACAAAATACTCTACATAGCTTCAATTCCAATATGAGTTACTATGTCACTAAATGCCACTTTTGGAATCCAAATTTATCCACAGTGTCCCCAACCTTTGCATTATCAAGGCAGTTCTTACAACGCTGAGCCCTCAAAAAGCCTCATCTGCCACAAATAAATCAGCTCTTCAAGACAACAGAGCAATATGACTAACCCACAGCTGGTATCATACTGAATGAAGAAAAACTGAAAGCCTTTCCTCTGAGATCTAGAACAAGACAAGTATGCCCACTCTTACCACTGGTACTGAACATAGAACTGGAAGTCCTAAGTAGGGAAATCATACAGGAAGAAAAAATGAAGGACATTAAAATTGTAAAAGAAGAATTCAAGTTATTCTTGTTTGCAGATGATATGATTTATATTTGGAAAAACCTAAAGACTTCACAAGAAAACTATTAGAACTGATAAATTCAGTAAATTCGCAGGATACAAAATCAACATACAAATAGCAGTAGCATTTCTATATGTCAACAGTGAACAATCTACAAAAGAAATCATGAAAGTAATCCCATTAACAATAGCTACAAATAAAAATGAAACTCTTTGGAAGAAACTTAATCAAAGAAATAAAGATTCCACAATGAAAACTGTAAAACATTGATGCAAGAAATTGGAGAAAACACAAAAAAGTAAAGATATTCCATCTTCATGAATTGGAAGATTGAGTATTGTTAAAATGTCCATGCTACCCAACGCAATCTACAGAGTCAATGTAATTATTGTCAAAATACCAATGACATTCTTCACAGAAATAGAAAAAAAAATTCTAAAATTTATATGGAACTGCAAAAGACTGAGGATAGCCAAAGTTATCCTGAGCAGAAAGAACAAAACTGGAGGAATCACATTATCTGATAAAATGGTTTTGGTCTCTGTCCCCACCTACATCTCATCTTGAATTGTAATCGCCATAATGGCCACATGTCGAGGGAGAGACCTGGTGGGAGATGATTGGATTATAGAGGCGGTTATCTTGATGCTGTTTTCATGATAGTAAATTCTCATGAGATCTGATGGTTTTATAAGTGTCTGACAGTTCCTCCTTCACATGCTCTCTCTTGCCTGCCACCATGTAAGATGTGCCTGCTTCCCCGTCTGCCATGATTGTAAGTTTCCTGAGGCATCCCCAGCCATGCAGAACTCTGAGTCAATTAAACCTCTTTTCTTTATAAATTACCCACTCTCAGGCAGTTCTTTATACCTGTCTGAGAAAGGACTAATACACCTGACTTCAAATTATACTACAGAGCTAGAGTAACCAAAACTGCATAGTACTGGCATAAAAACAAACACATAGACCAATGGAACAGAATAGGGAACCCAGAAATAAATCCATACATCTACAGGGAACTCACTTTTGACAAAGGTGCCAAGAGCATACATTACGAAAAGGACAGTCTCTTCAATAAACGGTGCTGAGAAAACTGGAGATCCATATGCAAATGAATAACACTAGACCCCATCTCATCATTTACAAAAATCAAATCACAATGAACTGAAGAGGTAAATCTGAGACCTCAAACTATGAAACTAATAAAAGAGATAATGAGGAAATTATCAGGGACATTGGTTTGGGCAAATATTTATTGAATAACACCCCACGAGCAAAGGCAAACAAAGCAAAAATGGATAAATTAGATCACACCAAGTTAAAAACCTTATGCACAGCAAAAGAAACAATCCACAAAGTTAAGAGACAATTCACAGAATGGAAGAAAGTATTTACAAACTATCCATCTGAAAGGGAGTAATAACAAGAATATATAAGGAGCTCAAACAACTGTACAGGAAAAAATCTAATCTAAAAATCTGATAATCTGATGAAAATAGGCAAAAGATATGAATAGACATTTATCAAAAAAAGACATACGAATGGCAAACAGGTATATGAAAATATTCTCAACATCATTGATCAGAGAAATACAAATCAAAACTAAAATGTGATATCATCTCACCCTTGTTAAAGTGCCTTTTATCCAAAGGACAGGCAATAATGAATGTCTATTGTTTGGATAAAAGGGTGTGGAGAAAAGGCAATGCTCATACACTGTTGGTAGAGATGTAAATTAATACAGGCACTATGTAGAACAGTATAGAGGTTCCTCAGAAAACTAACAATAGAACTATAGTATGACACAGCAATCTCACTTCTAGGTATATACCCAAAAGAAAGGAAATCAGTATATTGAAGCTATATGTGAACTTCTGTGTTTATTACAGCACTATTCACAATAGTGATTTGGTAGCAACCTAAGTGTCCATAAGCAAAGTAGTGGATACAGAAAATATGGTATATATACCCAATGGAGTACTACTATTCAACCACGGAAAAGAATAGGATCCTGTCATTTGCAATAACATGAATGGAACTGGAGGTCATCATGTTAAGTGAAATAAGCCAGGCACAGAAAGACAAACTTGGCATGTTCTCACTTATTTGTGGAAACTAAAAATTAAAATGATTAAACTCATGGAATAGAGAGTAGACAGTTGGTTACCAGAGACTGGGAAGGGCAGCAGAGGTGTGGGGGACAGTGAGGATAG